CATTGCCTGATTCGTATACTAACATGATACGACATTATATGCTAGCGACATTATGATAAGTTATATTTATTTTTATTATATATTTTGTAAGATTTTACTAATGTGACCGGATTTCTAAGATAAAGTTGTTTTGCAATGAAAATGACCCGATCGGAGTCGAAACGTTTGTAATGTTATTATTTTAATTAAAATTGTTTGTTGTAATATTGGTTCTATGTCCTGTTACTATTTAAATTATTTAATTCTTACTCGAACTTCAATCGGACTTTTGAATTAAGTTGTACCAATCAATGATACTGTAAGAAGAATACACCGTTTGATGCGTCGACAAACCTAAAAATCTCAATGAGCAAATTAAATCATCTGATAGTAATTTATTGCATTATATTATGTGATACATAATGTGATACGAGGTGTTCGGTAAATTTTGACAAAACGCTTGTGTATAGATACAGCGAACTAAATTAAGTCGAAAAGTCCTCTACCACACATTTTGCAATTTTCGCAATTTTTTTTTAGTTATCCAATGAGCAGAATATCTAAAATTGACGCATAAAACAACTTTAATACCTTTAAACGTTCTTTAAGAGGATTCTAAAGCTGTCTGCATTACCGACTAAATCATGTAATTTTTGTATAACAAATACTTTTTTCTCCTTCACAGATTCGAAAATCCTTTTCCAAGATTAAAGTATACGCATTAATACGTGTTTGTGAGGTAAAAAGTTTATGCCGAGAAAGATCAAAAATTTCAAAATTGATATATTTTTTACCATTTCTTAGTGTAACATGGCATCTCAAGCTGTCAAGTTGTGACAACATTTGCTTGAGACGAAAGTTTTGCAACCTGTACTTACGAAATAATCATTCACAAACACGTAGTTTGCAGGAATAAATAACATCTAGTTCTTCGAATTAGACTTAGACGCTTCATTGCAATGAATTTGTTATACGAAAATTGACACGAATGTGCGACTGCATGTATCATAGGTTACGTGAGATATTGGTGTGATAGTATATAAAAACATGTCGATGCGTGGCGCGACTTCGTCAGAGTTCAAGCTTCACTTTAGGATCCCCTTAAGAAACATTTTTAAGACATTTCATAAAAGAACTCTCTAAAATAAATCTTAAAATTATCTTATGTATCGATTTTACCCGCCAATCTTTAGAAATTAATATTTCGTTCATTATGCATATCTCGTTCATATCGCGAAAATTGTAAAATGGTCCTCTCTAGAGAACTTTTCGACTCAGTTTAGTCCGCTCTACCTACACACGAGTGCTTTATCAAAACTTACCGGACACCCGGCCTGTATAAGTCTTGAGAAAAATGGCTTTGAAAAACGACTTACTAAAGTAAAGTGTTTAACACAAGCTAATATTTTCTTAAATTAACACATAATATATTACTGATATATTATTCTTTCGACAGAATTCAATGCTTTTTGTTTAAGTCACATTCGCGTTTTTGCTTATGTTGTATCAACATTTTACTCACTGCTAAATACTTACGATTCTTATGAAATATTTCTTAAAATGATCCAAAAATTTATCAAAATGTATATCGTATGCGTTATATCCAACAAGAATACGTACATGAGTACACGTGAAATGTATTATATCAGCACTTATAACGATTATTCGTCATAATTATAGTGTAATAAAAAATTGGCACAAAATACTTGTTTGTATCTGTTTTAAATTCAACATCGCTAGAATTCGTGAACGCGACTCGTTAAAAAGCGATACAATATGTAGCAACGTTACTGTCAAAGAGATTACTACATATAAACATTGAACTTAAAGTACGTCATGACTGTGCAATTTCGTGAAAAACATGTTTTCTGCATTAATAACCTTAAACGTATCATATTTCGTAATTTTCACTATTTTTACTATCGCCATTCTTTCAAAAATTGTGTAACACTAATTGCGTACTCGAATAAAATATTATAAATTTTCTATAATATAGAAAATTTTTTAAATTATAACGATCAAAAGAACAAATTAATTAGAAAATTCATTTGTGAATATATCTCAATAATAATTCACGGTTTCGTATAAATAACGGAACTGATTGCAACAGTGGAGTGTATATTGATAGTGGCTTTCTCACATATACAAAAAAGTAACAAAAAATAACGAATTATTATTTTGTAACTAACAGTAATGAGTTACTTTTTAGAAACAATAACGATAACGCGTTTTCATGAAATAACGTTCTCAACTTTGTCATGAAAGTGAGAACGCATCCTGCGTCTTGTCTTATCGTTTTACGATCAAATGTTTTTTTTATTATGCTTATAATAGTTAAAACGAATTGTGATCGATAAAATCTCAAATGTCACAAATGTTTTAAAAGGCTTTTTTAAAGTGCTTTTTTTTAAATAGAATTTAAGTAATCTTCAATTAACATGATTGCTAAAAAATATGCAAAGATTATATCAAGACTAAGAAAATTCTATAAAATGTACAGAACTAACTAATTTTTGAGTGATAAGAATGTTGTGAAGTAGGATATGCCCATTTGTACTACCTTAAATCAAATACGGATGTATACGTAATTGTTTTCTTTGCAAGAGAATTTTAAAATTTTTGTACTTACTGCAGCAAAAGTCGCCATTGATAATGAAAATAAGTTACCAGCTGTTAAACCACAAGGTATAAAACTTCTGTGAAGAGTAGTAATCAACAGCGATTTTAATCTCGGTGAGAATGTATACCATTTCACAGCATATCTGTGGAAATAATAAAACTTTAAGGTTACATAAGATTTTTAGAAATATATCTTATTATAAGAAAATATAATATTCGTATGTATTTTCTATATATTACATATATTTTATATATACATATATATATGCATATGTATACCTTTTATTATATCTTTCCGTTAAATTGCATGTAAATATATGTAACAATTACAAATTAACTTCTCAAGGAAACAAAAAATAAAACTTTATATTTATTTTGAAATACAATAAATTTATAAACAAAATATATTCAGAACTTTTTAAATAGGAAAAATCATACAATTATTTAAAATATGCATAAAAATATATGCAGGGCTAGGCAAAATACATCATTAAAGTATTTGAAATACAAAATACTGTCAATCTTAGTACTTGAAATACAAAATATAAAAACTATATTTCTAATACAAGTACAATATATCTAAAATGTGTGCAGCCCTGAATATACTTGTGACAACTAACATTTTATATCTGGAACTTTTATCAACATTAATGATAAATATCAAACGCAAGTTAAATAGTAAAATTCTTACATTTGGTAGAACACATTTTGACTTTCATCTAACAATTTTTGACCAAGATAACATAGGATCATGAGCTGCAATAATGAGCCTATGATTACAACAGTATATTTTAATAGCTCCTCAAATTGATCAAATATGTATATAATCTACAATATAAAAAATTTAATATATTATAAATGTTTTTAATTCTTAATATTTGTTAATACTTTAACGTTTATTAATATAGTAGTTGTAATTATTTTCTCCTTCTATAAAAAATAAAAGATATAATAGCTTATAATAATAATATAAATAGTAGCTTATAATATTTACTTTAATTCCAACCAGACTTATAATTACAACAGCAAATAACAATGATATTAATGCCACTATTCGATACATTGAATTTAGTACATCGACAAACCTGTAAAGAATAATGATATATTAATATATCACAAAAGTATATACATATGTATATTACAAATGTATTATGCAGACTGTTACAAAAGACTCTTTTTTTAATTCTTTACTCTAAAACAAGTTGATATTTCTTCAAACATATAACATATTCCTCGTATATCATTTGTTCGCTTGCCAGTTTGTACAGTGCATTCATGCTGTTTATGTAGAATCCATGTTCAGTATTTTCATTAACTTCTATATCCGCTTTTGACATTATTTTCTCAAATTGTTGACTGTGAAATAAAAAAAAATTAATTTTCATAAAATTCACGGTTTTCTGGACAGAATCAAAAGAAAAGTTAATTGTGTACATACCTTATGATCGAGAACAAACCACAAGCATGAATGGTACGAGTAATATATATAGTTTCGACACTAACCAAAATAATCATACCTGTCACAACTGTAATCGTACTGTAGCAAAGAATTGGTATGAAATACTTGTCCTTATCTACTCTCCATTCAATAGGCAATATGAAAAACCGTGGTCGTGATTCATTAAGAGGCAATATAATATCGAGTAATATCGGTTTAAATGGAACCATTATAAATATTACTGTCATGAAGTACAATGTAACTGCAATTTTTAGTAAAAACATTATTATATATTTTATATATTTATATATTTTGTATATTTTTTATTTATATACACAATTTATGCAAAATTATGAATAAATATTAAAATATTTTTAATACAAAAATTATATGAACATCTGATTCTGCCAACAAAAGAAATCTTTTTTTTACGAAGTTTTTTTACTAAATTTATATCTATATTTTTTTTAGGACTCTCGCACGGTATGCAAGAGATCCGGGTTCGACTCCCGGCCGAGGTAATATTTTTCGCAATAAGAATTAATTATTTACAGATTTTAATATGTTATTCATCATTATTAAGATCGTTTCGAAGATGCGAATAAGCATCAAAAAATTTGTTAAAATTGCTAGTCAATTTAACTCGTGATATTACTGCGGTAGTTTAGTAGAGTTAGCGTTTCAAGACCGGAAATTTTTCGGCGCGCGTTTCTGTGGGACTACATACGTAGTATATAAATTCACATAAGAATCATACAAGCATTAAGATCCAGCTAGACCGTGTAAGGCTTTGATTTTCTATAGTTTGTGTTATCACATGTACGGTCCTATAATATATTATATTATCTATATTTTTTAACATACAGTACTAACATTGTATTCTTTGTATATACTCACTCGAATAAAATATTGTGAATTTTCCCGATCAAAGAGAATAATTCTTAAGAATACTCAATTCAAATTCACTTGTAAATGTATTCCAATGGTTTTCCATGACTTCGTATAAATATCGTGTCTGAGCATAATAAATAATTTTATTAAAGTAATAATTGAAAAGAATGATTATTAAGTAAATCGGTAATATTTTTTGCACACATACCTTGTTACAGTTCCAAAACTCGTTCCATAGTTTAACGATAAATATGAATATACAGGTGGTATGATAAGAAGTTTCAAAAACGATTTGCGTATTTTTCCAATTATCATATAATGCTAATATCTAAGCGTAATATTAATTATTCCAAGTTATTGATTATGTTTTATATATAAAAAAGTATATTTAAAACAAAACATTACATTTTATCCATTACTTGCCCGGAAAAAAATAGTCTGTATATAATTATAAATATAAATATATATCACACATAAATAAATATATAAGAAGTTGAAATCACTTTTAGCTCTCGAAATGTCATTAAAACAATAACATCCAACAATGATGAGAGTAAACAGCGTGGTAGAAAGAGAGAGAGAGAAAGAGGGAGCGCAAAACCAATATATTTCAATATGTCTTAAAAATTTTCTATCGTTGGATGTTATTTTTTATTTTAATATATGTATGATATACATATAATTATATAAAGTTATATATAATTATATATAATCTTATAAACGTTTATTCTTATGAAGTATTTCTGAAAATGATCCAAGTATCTATCGTATACGTTATCTGCATAATATACTTATCCGAAAATTGAAAATAAACTACATGAACATGTAAAATGCATTGTATCGATACCTATCATTATGCTTATACCCATTAAAATTATAGCAGTAGAGTAATAAAAACTCGGCATAAAGTATTTATAATTACTCTAAATTCAATATCGATTACTAAGATTCGTGGAGGTGATTCGTTAAGAAGTGATATCTATATCAACGCCATTGTCAAAGGAATTATTATAAACATTGAACTTAAAAAGTATATCATGATTGTGCAATTTTGCGAAAAATATGTTTTTGCATTAATAATTTTAAACATATCATATTTCGTAATTATCGCTGTTTTTGCCATTCTATAAATTGTGTAACACTATTACACTAATTGCATATTCACTCGTGTAAAATATAATCTTTCGCGATAGATAGAATTTTTTTAGAATACTATCTTCTAATTCAGTTCAATGTATCCTAATGATCATTAATGCCGTTAATGGCCTTGTATACAACGAAATTGATTGTAATAATAGGATATTCTGATAAAAATTATACTGAGATAACAATTAAGAAATTTAAATGATGTACATACAGTTTAGAAAACTTATCTAGGATAAGGCCAGCCACACATGTTCAAGTAAACTTGTCAAATATGCTTGCGCAAGTTTGCTTGTGCAAGTTTACTTGAACGTGTGTGGCAGAAAATGGTTATAACTGTGCAGTTTTCTGCCACACATTAAGCCCGATATTTCATGTGTTGGAGGACAAGGTTTTTCAAGCCTATTGATTAGTTGTAGGACAGAGAGGTCCTTGGATCTCTTCGTTGTACACATGAAATATTGGCCTCTGGATTTATGCCGCGTGAGGATTTATGCCGCAAAAGTCAGAAAAAATAGAAGGAGTGAGAGTAATTTGCACACAATCACTCTAGTATATGTTTTTATGTTGTATTAGTATTGTGTTATGATTTCAGTTTTTTATTATTAATATTAATAAAATTATTGACAGTTGAATCGATTTGTCAATGTAGTAAGTAACGCAGTCATATATCATAACCCACATAAAATAATTACTGTAAAAGGATTGCAAAAGGCTTAATGTTATTTGGTGACATTTTAGAAGGATAGTAAGCAATGGAATATGTATAGCAAAAAACAAGTGTTTAGCTCTTGTACTTTTTGTTCAACTTGATAATATATAGTTTTTGTAATAACGTGAATTCAGACACGGTGAAGTCATGTTATCCTTTTCTTAATTAGTTGTTAAGAAGAAGATAACCTGACCTTAGCGTTCACCATATCTGAATAAACGGTATTGCAAAAATTCCCTATTGTCTTATATATTTTAATCATTTAGGGTATACGATATTTTTAGCGGGCGAAATTTGTGTCCAAAGCATACAAAGTGCATAAATTGAATTCATTAAATGCAATAAATGCATTACATGGAATATGTACCTCATATCGTAACACTTGTAACTTGTACAAATGATTATAATTATTATCTATTACTTCGTATATGTATTAGATATAACTGCGCGAGCGTGGTGTAGCAGACATCGCCATTGGTCTGCCATGCTAAAGATTCTGGGTTCGGTCTCCAGTAGAATCGAAAATTTTCGTAAGTTCTCTCGGAAGACAATGGCAAACCACCGATTATACTTGCTCAGCCCCTGTATCCTGTAACTTGTTATGACACTAATGATATCGTTATATTGTCATTACGCAGATTTTGTATATGGTAAAAAGTAGCACAAAGAAATATAATGATATTGTTACTGTCACAACGAGTTAGATAGGGGCAGAAAATCTTCCTACCAAAAATTGCCGTTCGGAATCGGTGTTTAAACTGTAGATCTCCATATACCTTGTATACGATCAATATGCGCGCAGGTATATCAGAGGAAGACTCCTATACGCGCTGGTGACAGCATATATGGCACTTGAAGAAGAAGACTTTGTATATACAGATATTTATCGTTGTTATTCATCAATAAATACATTTTATAAGTTGTGTCATTTTATGTCTTACTTCTAAGCATCATTTATAAATCTTGAGCCGTACATCCCACTTAAGAGTAGTCGTGTATCCCATTCCTATGGAATGTACAGCAAAAATGCAAGTGTGTGTTTCAAAAAGTTTTTTTTAATATAAAAAATAAACATTTCGGATTCCTAACATTTTTTTCATATTAGTAAACAGTATTGATTGATAAACAATAAACAGTCGTGATTGGTATATTAGGTGTTAAATTTAATTCCTGCCGTTTTCCAAAATTGATTTGTTTCGAAGGGAAGATGAATGAATACCTTAATCAAAGTAATTTCCTCCATTTTCTATTTTATTACTAATTAATAATACTTTATTACTAATACTTTGATTAAGGTATTTCCCTTCGAAACAAATCAATTTTAGAGACGAAAAAACGGCAGGAATTAAATTTAACACCTAATAGTTTATTTACTTTAAATATAGTAAATAATACTTCATAAATTAAGTTTCATTAAGATATAGCGTATATACCGTATGTCGGGACTCGAGACTCCAAATATCAACCTTACTATAAGTGCGGTTGTTATGACAAATTGATATAATAGCAATCTTCAAAAACCATTTGATTGTCTTGATTATCAAAATCTACATATATTGTCAATTTATA